CAAGGTGCCTTGCTAATCCTGGCACACGAGACAGATTCCTTAAGAAGGAATAAACGAGAATTACAGAATAGTTTCTGCACATGCAACTTTGTATTATAGGAAAATGAGGCTGACAATGTGTCATGCGCTGCGTAAATTTTGATCTAGCAGATCTCTGGATACTATGATTTATTTCCTATCGTTATTTTCTAATGTTATATATGAAAATAATGCGATTAGTTAATTTTATTCTTTCGTGCGCTTGGTAGTGACTTAATTCTTGTGTACGTTAAGATAGCGAGTCAATCATTCTCGAAGCAAGCATATTCATCTAATCAAACGAAAACCTGCATCGAAATGTATATCACTGCTTTACTTCCCTGATATTTCCACCATCGGATAGCTCGTAATAATCAGTTCATATGAAAGAAGAGACAAAGCCTTATTAAGAGAAGAAAAGCTACACCATGAATCGGTCGCTAGGCTAGAACAGTGTGTCCTATTTATTCAGATGGAAACTAAACACGGTCAGAAAGTCTCAACCCTCTGCTACCGGCGAACAATAACGTTCTCTCTCGCAGGAACGCTTCTCCTTGATACCTCTCTCTTTCCGCAAGAACCGCGGAGCCCATTTGTTCGAGCGGCGGAACTTGGTGCCATTGCTGCACGCGGCGACAGGTAGAGGCACAGGTCCTGGCCGAGGACGGGGCGAGACGGTGGTCGGTGGCGCCACGCAATTGTCAATTAACATTTTTACCGCCGCGCAAGAAAACACGAAGTTACGTGCCGGTGGTGGAGCGAGGAGCTCGCCAGAGTTCTAGGGATCGGGGGCTGGGCCGGGCCAACTCGGTCCACATCGCGTCGGGGAGGAACGAAGAAAGCGCGGAGGGAACGAGGCCTGGCCTGGGACCAGTCGACTGATCCTGCGAGCGAAGAGGACAGAGTCTCCAGACAGAGGGAACGGAAAGGGACAGAAAAAAAAGAGGTAGAAGAGTAAAAAGGAATCGGAGAGGATACATTTCATTATGATTATGTGCGCAATGGATTGCTAATCGTAAAGCTCCTTCTGACTGCGTCGAGTCCAGGCTCTACCGGCCACTTTCTTTTTCTCTTCGGCCCTCTTATCCCTCTCTCTCTCTCTCTCTCTCTCTCTCTTTTCCTCTACTCCCAGCGAACCTGTGAGGCTCGTTTTTCACACGTGGGAACGGCTAAACTTTTCTGCGACGAGTATACACCCAGGACGAGACCCTATTAGTACTATTAGCATACATCACCTATCGTTTCGCTCCCCCTCCTCCTTCACCCTTCTGATTTTTTCCATTTTCTACGATACATTCTTTTCCCTTCCTATAGGTTAGTTCGAAGCTCCCTCCATTTTTTTCGGTCGAAAGCGCACCCGACCCCGTTGTCTACCATAGGAATGCGCTATCGATACAGGCCGCTGGAAGCAGGGCGATATTTCGAGATTACTCGCTCTTTATTACATTCCACGGTGCTCTTATGGTACTCGTAATATCACGTTGCGAGGGGCAGCAGTACCTTCAAATATTACGTTTAATAAGCCAGTATCGGTTACGTTCCTCTGTTTCAAGAAATAGGAGATTTTCCGAGGCTTGTTCCTCTTCTGAAGATTTTCGTTGATGTTCTAATTCAACGATTGTTACAGGCTCAGTTTCAGTAACGATAAGCTTCCGTTGATTGATATTTAACGATAGAACTACCGAGCAGACGAGTTGAGTTTTCTCAATTTTTCTGTAGAAATTCTGAGAGCGCGTCTATTGAGATTTCGAGTGACATGATTCAGGTTGCTTGTTTCTACATTAATTACTTCGGTATTTTATCGGAGAAACATTTGTTATTTTCTTAATCATTGTAAAGAAATTCCGAAATGGATCATTTGGACGTATTCGATAGTTCTAGTGTTAATCGACAAATTGTCTAATCTTGATCGATGATCTGATGTTGCTCTTTACTGGTTGAAAATGTTTACTAATTACTCGCGCGGTGAATGCATAATCGTGAAATCTCGTGAGCGATCTTCCGAGCGTTAATTAAGAATTAAAAGATGATCGATCGTGGCGGGGGAACTGTTTTTAATAAGACAGAATCGACGCGGCCTCACGTGAGTGATGCACGTCAGGAAGCAGCGGAAGTAATTTCGAAAGGCCAAGGCTGCGAACGGTTACTGATCCGAAGAAGAAGATAATCCATCATTACGCATGTTATATTATCGCGCATATTTTAAGCAAATTTGAAAAATAAAATCACCGGCTAAGTTCAAAGTCTAATATAGAAAAAATGTGTAACATGTAATTTTTTAGATCTATAATCGACCACTTTGAAAAAGTGAAAATATCCCTTGAAGTTAACACTGAAATGTGGAGAACTAAAAATGGCTATAATATATTGTGAAAACGCCCAGAATACGTTTAAAAAACTTATCTGTACATCATTTTCATTAATCTAGTATTTCTAATGTTAAGAAAAGAAAATGTGTTTGATCAAATATTTTAAAAACTACTGAACCTACTTATTAAAGAACTTTGAAGGAGATGATTACAGACTGAAAAAAACAACCTCCCTTGAAACTGTCAAATTTCTTGGAAAAAGATGAAGAACTCGATTGCGCGACTGTTAATTGCCCAGCGTTAATTACCGAGGAATATTTCCGGAGCAGTTCACCTTGTATATGACCGACCTTTCACCTTATAAGAAAACCATGATAAGTGCGTTGAAGGGCTGGACACGAAAGAAAATTGATGAAGATGCAATTAGCGATCTTTCCGCGGCGTATGGGGTGATTAATTACAAAACTAATTTTAGAAAACCTCCCAAGACTTCCATATTTAGTAGAAGCCGAATTAGTAAACAACGGAAACGCACAAGTAGTAAAACTCGATTATAAAGCGAAAAGTAAAAACTCTAAAAACTTTCGTTGTTAACCTTAGATATACGGACACTTCGAAAGCGAGGTTAAATTATTGTTTCATTCGAATAAAATTTTCGAGTAAATGAGTTACAGAATCGATTTGAACATCTACTCATTTTTCTTTAAAAATTTTCCTTTGTTTTGTTAACTGAGACAGAATATGAAAAAAGATCAAGAGAAAATTTATGAGAAATAATATGAATTTCTCGTGCAGAAGACACAATATAACGAAACAAAAGATGAATATTAAGTTATAGATATTCAAATTATTTCATTGATTAAATGACCAACGTAACGAGATCAATCATTCTATTGCAACGTTTCCAAAGTAAACAATAACGTATCGGCAACAATGAAACCTCGAAGGTGCAATTAATAATAGGACCAAGACCTATATAGGGGGCGAAGTTACACGCGCAATAAGCCCTTTGAGTTACGAATTCCCAGTTATAAGCCAGCTGGGAGCCATTAAAACTTTGCTTGCATAATAAACGACACAGCATGGTAATATCACGACATAATGTGAACATATGGTGAATGTGTTTTCTTGAACAAACTTATGCAGCATACCATTACGTTTTCACAGTAAACGGGCGATATTGAAGGCTCCAATATTACATTACACTTTCATGAATGAAAATTAATAAGAAAAGTTACAATTTACTTGTTAAAATAAAATATATACCTTACTCTTTGAAAAAATGTATTTGTTTCATTATTGAAGATGAATGAATGTATTTAAAATATCATTAATTTTGTATGTTCCAGAATATTTAAAAAAGTACATTTAATTGAAGAATACTGTTTCGATTATCATATGTACTTAGATTAAATTGGATTGGATGGAAAAACTACCTAAGAAAAAAGTATGCAAAATACTGTATGAAAAGAATTATACGTATCTTTGGAAAAAGTTACGTGTACAATATCCAATTAAATGCTTTAACATCCTTACAATTTCTAAAATCGATTAAAAGCCGTCTTCTTCGATATCATATATTTTCTGAAAAATATACGATCAGTTAAAATGGCATATCTTGTACAAGATTTCATATAATTGTCACGAAAAATATGTTTAATCCGCGTAAAATAAATGTTGCAGTGTATTGCAGGATACAGTTACTAGAATATTCTAGAATTCTCAACTTTAGAGTCCCACAATTCAACAGGTACAAAAACGCTGATGCTTCACGGAAACGCGTTAAACCAACAGTGCACGGCCTCTGCGGGTATTTACACAGGAAAACATAACAGTTACCAGCGATTCATTGGTCCCCGTGTAAATGTGCTGTTCAGTGGAAACACGACTGAGAATTGCACATCGTTTCCTCTGGGTATATTAGCCTATTGGTTGTACGCTCGAACACCGACAAAGCGGGAATATTTTGTTCCTGAAGCATCTCTGCGTCTCAGGAGTTTCTATTCAGAAGTTTATCCCTCGGGCGTCACGTGCGAGACATAATCACCTTCTGGTTGACTTAAACTTGTTACATTTAATCAAAAAGAAACAACATATAACTAACCCTCGCTAATTCACGCTAAAAGACCTTTCACGCGAATTCGTTTAACGCGAAGAAAAAACAAAATATTGAAAAGGAAAGCTGGTATAAGTTTCCGAAATACATATTTATTTCGTATAACTCAACCAAAGAAATAATAATGACAATTTCAAAAAATAAAAGTACACTTTATTCAGTGTTACTAAATTCAGCTCGTGTAAATAAAGATTGTGCATAAAAACTTCTAAATCGAGGGTCAGTTGTATTCTTTTTCTTTTATAAACCGATCTACGTCCTGCGCTACTAGTTAATACCACACTTAAGAAGAACTATTAAATGAAATTGATGTTAATTAAAATTTAGAGTATGTATTAAATGTGTATACGACGGACAAATTAACTTTTTTGTATTATTTTCTTGTTCGTAGGTGTAAAAAAATGAGATTAAAAAAACGAATTGTAGTATCAAGCATGTCAATTGTAAACAATTCAAAATGTTGTATATTTGTAAAAGAGAAAGTGGTAGTTCCCAACTTATAGAAGTGCCTATATGTTCTAATTAAAAATATATAAACGTATAAATGAATAACTCACCCTATTTTGTTGATCAGCTTTCCATGAACGTGTAGATAAGACGTGACGAACCTCTTGTTCACCTTGAAAGAAGATATAATTCACGTTAAAAATAATTTCATACGTATATACATATATTTGTGTGCCTTATATATATATATATATATATATATTATACTGCTTTCTCACCTCAACACTACTTAGTTGCGCCAGTTCTTCTAAATCACTATGAGATAATCTCGCTTCATTGGCAGTGGCTGCAGTAGTTGTACGACGAACTCGTCTACCTCCAGGATGAACCCAAATTTCCCTCCTTAATCCACCCCCAATATTATTTGCTCCTTCTTTTTCTTTCATCCTGGCCCTTTCCTTCCATTCCCTCTCTTCTTTTCGTTTTCGTTCCGTTGACTCATACTGTTAGAATACATAACATAATGAATCTCCAAAATCAACTGTGCGCATAATTTTACTAAGAACAGCATAGTGTGTAATGCAAATGAGAGTTTGTTCTATTAATTTTTTTCTTTTTTAGAAAGAATCCATCTAATATCTTTGTACAATGATTCCTAAAATGTCTCAGATATCAAGATACAAACATTATACGTCTAAAACTTCTAAAATGTTTGTATCCTTGAATAGTGATTACAAAAAAAATGCATGCTAACATTTTGTGCGGTATAGTGCTGATAATTAACAGAAACAGTGCATTAGTTTACAGCTAACAATCCAGCAGTATGCAGCATACTATTTTCTCAACTATATACTCTATTTTTTATAACAACCAATTTGCGCCAGAAGTATTGCCATTTCTAATTTCTATGACTGACGCAATTGATTTCCTTCAAGCATAGCAAAATTTACCGTTCAATCGTTGTTACTATGCAAGAAATGTAAATGTAAATGTTTAACTATAAGCGTGCAAAAATATTTCTAATGCGCAATAAATTGGAAGAAAAACCTTTATTGCGCACAAAACAAATACAATCGAACTTCGATAACTCGGATCTCTATAAATTGAAAATATCTATAAGTCGCAAGTTTCTTCATTTCTTTCAGTTTCGCTATAAAAACTTCTGTATTCCAGAATATGAAAACTACATAATTTGAATTATTTTCCTCGTATTTAGTACGTATTTTACCTCTACAATTCAAATACAGAAAAAGTCTCTACAAATCAAAAAGTACTTTTATACAGAAGTCAAAGTTTTACACTAAGTTCAATACATACTATCAATCAACTATTGATCAGCTCTTGATCCGTTCACTTTAATTCGATGGAATATTATTCAATTATTCATAATGCATCTATTCACAATATGAACTGTGACCTTACAAGACCTCTATAAAGTGAAGTTTGTTAAACTTTTTTTACTTGAAAACTCGATAGCTCGATAGCTCGATAGGTCGAATAGTCGAATATAACTCGAAAATCTTTTATTTTCCCTTGTAATTCGACTTATCAAGGTTCAACTGTACTATACATTAAGCAGCGTATAGATGAAGAAACTAATTTAAGCTTCGGTTAGGTATCTAAAGAAATCACACCAAGTATCGAAATTTACTTACATAATGTAGATACTGGCGGCAAAACAGAATTAAAATATTATTAACGTTAGTATCAATACAACCAAATTAAGAATTGTCTGAACGTTTACCATACCTTTTTTCTATTTTCATCAAAAAGCGCTATTAAGCTTTCCCTCGCAGACTGAAATGGATTCGATGCCATAAGAGACCTCATATAATAGTATACTGCATCCAATTTTCGTCGCTAAACAGAGAATTCATATTTAAATATGTGTAATACCGTTTTTGTTTCTTTGAAATTAAATTTTTAACAACTTTACTTACAGCGTAATGAGCTAACAAGGCAAGTTGATTATATGGCCTTCCATTCTTTGGATTAAGTTGTTGCGCTTTCAAATACCACCTAAAATTTATAAAATTTAACTTAAAAAGTTAAAAACATTCAAATATATTATTCGTTTATTAACACTTACTGCCTAGATTTTCCATAATTATTCGTTTCATTAGCTTGTTCTCTGTATCTCGCCAAGTCACCCAAAAATAGATATATCTTTTGCGCGCTTACTAACGCCAAGCCTAAGATTCCAAGTCCTTTCGGAAGAGTCGATGATGCAAGGAACATGTCCAATTTAAAGTCATATTTCTTTTCAAGAACAGTTAACAAACTTTCCAAATATACGGTCCCCTCGTCAATGATCTTTAACATTATTTTCTTGTAATGCTCTCTACCTTCAGAACTTTCTTTAGGCATGCCTTTCCGTAACATCTCAATCATATTATAAAAAAGTATCTTCCAAAAGTGTTGCTCGACATTCTCAGCTTGACAAAATTTGATATCAGTTTCTAGCAAAGTTTTCAAGCTTTCTTGCAAGAAGTGTCTTATGTATAAAACCCTTTCCCAGTTTGCCGTGAATCCACCAGAACTTAGTATCCATTGCAATTCTAAATCAGCACGTTCTATGTCCAAAAGTAAGTAAGGATTTTTAGCTGATCGAAAACTGCAAACAAGAATTTATGTTAATAAAATAAATTACCTTCACTTTTAACGTGTTGCGTATCTACTGTATTTACATACCTATCCGAGTAAGGATCGTACCACGAAGGTCTTGTACTTCCAAACTGGTCATTCGGCATATATGGGGGTGGTACACCATCTAAGTGCGCACCTTGAAAACTATGATGTGGTGAAGTAATACCTCCATGAGATTGGAACACTGGGACATTGGAACTTTGACATGAGCTATCATTCTCTCTAGAAAAAAAAATTTTTCCTTGAACTCTTGAATCAATACAAAAGTGAGAGGAACCTACTAAGTTATTACTACCTTTGTACTGCAGCTCTACTATTAGGTGAAGGAACAACAATAGGTTTATTAGGATTGTTGTGATTGAATAATGTTCTTTGTTGCTGCATTCCTTGTTGTCTGGAAACTGAATGATTAGGCGGAGATTGACTGGTATCTGGTAACACTAACACGCCCGGTGGCTGAGAGTTACTATAACCACTAGGAGAGGTTTGATGCGATGTCAAATTCAAAGCGGTATTTGATTGAGGACCAGAATGAGAGGAAACATTCGGTGTATGTCGTCCGTCATCGGAATCACAAACTGACATTTTTCTTCCAGTTCTCCAATTTTCATCTAAGTATCGATCAGATGTTCTAAAAATATATGTACAAATAAAAAGTACATTTCCAATGGTAACATGTAACGTAAAATAAATATTAAAAATATTTCTACCTATGTCTGTGAAGATCATCGAAATTTCTACTACTGCTACGATAATTCCTATCTTTACTAGATTCCCGACTATGTTGTATAATATTGCGATGCCTTCTGTGATCATATCTTCTACTACTATTATTGTTCTTTTGATTGTTGTTGTAGTTGTCGTTTTCTCTGTTTTGCTGATTGTTTTGTCGATCGCGACTATTAACTCGAGCTTTATCCCTGCTACTACTCCTTCAGATAATACAAAACATTATCTTAGTATATTTAAAACTGTATTTACAAATAATAAACTATTTGTATGTAAAACATATGTATATTAAGGCATTCCTA